AACGCAAAGATCGGATTCGAATATAGATTATATTTGAATTCGATCTTATAAAACAAATAGCCCATATGAATATCTGATCGGATCTTACAAACGCATATTCCAATTCGAATATGTTAATAATGTCGGATATGCGATCTGATTTAGTAGTCTGACTTCTTTACAAAGAGATTTTGTAGTACTCAACTACAATATGAAGTTTTAGTTTGGAAGGAGTACAAATACAAATATGTACTTTTGAGCTTGTATTTGTATCATGAAGAGATTTCTTAGAAGTTAACTACTATTTCAATAGAACTTGAAATAGCATTAATAATCATTTGGATCAAACAGTTTTTGACAAAGTCATCAGTTTTGGACTAAATATCAGGTTTCAACAAAATTAGACTCAAAATTAAAGTTGGGTGATGGTTTGAACGGTTCAATCAACCAGGTCAATTGCAGATTGAAAACATAGGTATAAATATTATAAAATGACATAATATTATATACAATATTTTATGCTTATACATATTATAACATATTTTGTTATATATGATACATATATATGTATTATATAATATAAGGAAGCATTTGGCAAGTCTTTTTCGTGTGATCTTTTGGGGTTTTATAATGCTTGGAAGACCAAAATGTAGTCCTTCTCTATTTGATAATAATGAAAGATAGGAAGTTAGAAAGACCTATGCCCTAAAAAGCTCATGAAAACCCAAAATGGCCAAAAATTTGAAAGCATCAAAGGTTTAATATTTCATCACCTATACATATCGTATCTTCGGGTTCTTGGCATGGGGAATGGTCCCAAATCAATGCTATCGTTTCTTTTCGTTGTGCTGAAGGTGTATCGATGCCATATCGATAAGTTTCGGTCATGTATCGGTCGATATGGTAGCGTATCGATCGATACACAACGACTTTTCTGTTGCGAAAACACAAATTGAAGTGGTTTCGAAAGATGGCTTCTAAATCCATTACAGAAGCCCTCTTTCTTCCCCAAACTCTCCATAAAGCATTTTAACTTTCCTAGAGACTCAAATCTTGCAAAAATCCACCAAAACATCCATAAATTTGTAAGATTCAATGAGTTTTTCAAGGTTGTGAAAAGAATAACGAAAATAGGTATGCTTTTTTCAGATTTTTTTACATTTTTAGCTAATGTTTTAGTTTGGATGCTTAAAAACATCTTTATATATGTTGATAAGCTATTCTTATGCAAAAAATCCCACTTATTTTGCTTCTCTATGTAGATCTTTGTGAATATCTGAAAAAAATCCCGAATAGTAAAAAATCTGAAAATAAAAATGAAAAATTTTAGGTTTTTTCTTATGATCTACCTCTAAAAATTGATTATATTATATATCTATAGATGATCTACCATGTCCATAAATCAATCAAAATTGCTTCTAAATAATTGATTTTTTATGTTTTTTAATTGTTGGAATAATATATAATTTCTTCAATTTTATGTGATTTAACCCTATAGGTTGAGTATGTTGTAGAGCTAAGACAAATCTAAGATGGTTCGTAATTCCATATAACAATATATTCAAATATCATGTGAACAATTTAATTTGTTTTTTAATTTTTTTTATTTTTAGAATATAAATATTTATTTATTTCTCTAATGTTTTGCAATGATCTAAATTCTAGTAATAAATATTTATAGTAAAAATATGGATGATCTATTTTGTCCAAAAACCAATTCATTTTTTTGTTACATATTTAATTTTTTAGTTTTAGTTTAAATTTTAGAATAAAACAAGCAAAATAATTATTTGAATAAAAATAAATAATTATTTAGTTTTTTAGAATGAAATGTACAAAATAATTATTTGATCTATTATGTCCATAAATCAATTCAATTTTTCTGTTACATATTTACTTTTCTTAATTTTAATTTAATTTTTATAATAAAACATGCAATATAATTATTTGAATAAAAATAAATAATTATTTAGTTTTTAGAGAAATAGAATGAAACATGCAAAATAATTATTTGTCTATTATGTCCATAAGTCGATTCAATTTTTCTGTTACATATTTGTTTTTCTTAAATTTAATTTAATTTTTAGAATAAAACATGTAAAATTTGAATAAAAAACAATGATCTATTTTTAGAAAATTAAAATGAAACATGAAAAATAATTACTTAATCTATTATTTCCATATATCCATACAATTTTATAAAATTAGAATGTAACTCGGAAAATTGGAATGAATTAGGTACTTTATTAGATAGTATGTTTCTGTTCACATATATTGATTATAATATGTTTTTCCATAAAACACACTAAAACATATTATTTTTATGCATAAATAACTAATTTATGTCTTATATTTAGTGACTTTGATATTTATTTATGATTTATTGGAGTATTTATAACATTTCCATGTATTTCCATACGTATCTTAATTGTTCATCCATATCTATCATATTCCAATATGTCTCTTAAATTTTCTTTTCCAAAACGCATAGTATTTCTGATACTTTGAACTTTGAAAGCATCTAATGAAATTCCGTTTCTTACGAAACCTAAAATCTTCCATTTAACAGTTTTGCTGATCAAATACCCCTAAAAGTTCACACCTTTTGTCCATCTTGACCATCGGAAGATGTTCGTAAAAAGACTTGCCAGTTTATTTAAAGGCATAGGCCCAGGGTCTGGGATGGCACTGCCCAATAACCCATTATCACCACCACAGCTATCCAAATTAATGATGTAATAATATTCTGTTTATTTGTTATCTCATTTGGATGGGCTGAATTGGTATTAATTAATTGATCTCAGAGGCCATTCTTATGGTCCAAATCTTTTGCATGTTTTTAAATCACTCTAGTTGACATATTTTTCAAAAACTGTATTAATTTGATTGATTGGACAAAGATTATTTGAAGCTTTGGTATATTGTTTGCAAGACCTAGATTAACAAATCTAGACCATTGAAATAGTCTACTAAGATCAATATATTGATCTCAAAAATTCATACTACGATTTCAACCAACATAGACCATCCAAATATTATACCAAATCAGCCCAAAAATCAATTCAATAAAAATGATTTCCTAGACTTAGAATAATGGATTAGTCTCGTCCAAGATCAAACCCAACCCATGACAGCTCTATTTAGCTTAAGATTTATCATTCACCATTAACAAAACCATAAGGGGATTTGACAAGATATGAAAGTGAAACTTACAAGGGGCCAAACATCTCAAAAAATAAAATCGTGGATATTGTATAAAGGTGAATTCTTCCCTCCTGCATTATTAAAGAAACTTTAGGGTTCATCCTAATAATGCAACAAAAAAACTATGTACATCAATGATTAATCATGTATGTAATGTGTCAACTATCTTTAGCATTGTTAGAAAGTGTATGTCTTTAGCTTCAATTAGCATGATGCACATTATGATATTTATTGTAAATGAATAAAGTACATATTTGATTCATGTTATTGTAATGTGTTTCTGTGTAATACCCTTAAACTGGATACATATGAAACTCGTGTTAGTTTATAATTTTCACAGTCGTTGGATAGATCTAGGGAGATTTATCCTGTCAAGGCTGACACTGATTTGCTGCCAAGTTGGTTGGGATGGCTTGTCTCAGCTACTATGGTGAGACCTGAGGTGCATGCAGTGTGGGTTTTTTTGAAACCCTGAATCGGACCAAGTTCCAGTGTTGCCCTGGACCTTGGAGACAGATGGGCAAAATTGTAATGTTTATACCTGGCCCCTAGACTCGATTATGATACTACACTAAGTATCGAATTGGGTTGTGTTTGATGTGCCAATTAGTGAGATCCTTAAAGGGAGTCAAAACCTGAGTATGTTGGGACAGTCCGAGAATTCATCTGAGTGGGTGATCATGGTGATAGAATCAACCCCTTTGTCGGACAGTGAATGGTCGAAAAACTGTACTCTCTGATGGAAACCTAAACTGCCGGTAGTAGATTTCAAATATGTTTGAAAATTGGTTTTGCAAAATATATTTATATAGAGATATACTTATATATTATGTTTTTACAAATTATTTGCAAAATGTTTTAATTATCGGGATCCATGTGAGTAAAGAGTGCATCACCTTAACTTACAACCGAGGGAGAGGTTATCTCTTGTCGGATAGTGTCGGATCATTATAGGCTGAGAGGTTAAGTGTAAGACCATTGAGGGTTATACCTAATGGGCTTGCAGTCCTTGGGCTTTCATAAGATGACTGGACCCAATGACCATTTAGTGTAAATGTTGGGCTTATTAAGAGCCCATGGTGATGGATTTAGGGGTTCACTATGTCGTATAGTGAATTCGGTCAGGCCTTGTAACTAAGGCTGGACTGAACCCATGCGACTAATATGTAGATCAATGATAAGGTCCCACGCCATACAAGGAGAGCCAAGCTAGCCATCATTAAAAGGAAGTGAGCCTAAAAGCTTAATGGGCCTAAAGCCCATTTCGAATTGGGTTAATTGGATTAATTAATTAGGGACGAATCTAAGTATGGATCAGCAGATGAGGATAAGAGGATAAATCTTATCCACTTAAAGAATCTAAATCCAAATAGAGATTTGGATCAGAAAATTCTAATTTGATTAGGAGTAACTGATCTTGATCTGTAGATAAGATAATGGATTATCCTTATCGCTTAAAGAGTTCAGATCCAAATAAAGATTTGAATAAAAAAACTCCTAATCAGATTAGGAGATCATCTCTTTAAGGGTTATATATAAAGAGTAGGGCGGATTTGAAAATATACACAACACATTTTGACTATTCTGCCATTAGTTTTTTCTCTCTGTTCTTGTCGTCTTACCCTATTCGATCTTCATTTCTTAGAATTGATCAAGATTTGATCTTGATATTGTTTCTTGCTAGAAGAAACAATTCTAAAACTGTACTCACTACCCCATTCGATTCTTACTGAAGAATCAAAGATTCTTGGTGAAAAACTACCTGTTGATCCTACCTCATCCTATGCTGTGTCATCTTCAGTTGAAGGAAGATTTAGTACTCTTTGGGCGTGAACACTTGCATTGGAAGGAGTTTTTTGCGTGGATTCCGTATCAGGTATACCTCTCCCTAATCTTAGTTTCAGATTTGGTCCGGTTTGGTTACAAGAACGTATCTTGAAAATGTAGTTTTTTAAATTGGGAATACGATTCCTGGATGGGAGAAGAAATTTTTGAAATTTCGCCCAACCTTCTTGTAAGGTTTGGCCATCCATATAATGGATCTCCCTTCCCTTCAGTAGTATCAGAGCCAGGTTTAAATCTTGAACCAATTTGCCAATACCAATGTTTTAAAAGGCGTACGCCTGAAGACGCGCCTCCGAGCGAGGCGCCCCCAAAACGCCCAAAGGCACATGATAGAAGCGGTCAAACCTTTTAGGCATACACCTTTTAAACATTTGGCGTTTTTAAACATACATGTTATTTGTTTTTAAGTTTTTATGTTCTAATTGGTGGGGCCACCATTATATCATGGTCCCTATTGTATACAATCATCTTTTAAGTGTAAAAGAGGGGGAAATATCCCTCTTTGGATTATGTTCTAACCCAAACATTAGGGCTTGAAAGAGAACTTTGAAGACTCTGAACTGTGTATGTGCGAACTACAAGTTGCAAAGAACAAGACTCACTCAGTTTCAAGTTTCAACCTTCAACTTTGAGTTCGTGCAATCTGGTATGTTTTTTTTTTTTTTTTCTTTTCCTTTCATCTTCTTCTTCCACACTCTACAACCTACAAGTTCAAGCAACCTGCAATTTCTTTCTTTCTTTCTTTTTCTTTTTCTTCGAGCAACCTGAAATTTCTCAGATGTGGTCTTTTTTTATTCTATTTTCAATTGCAATCGAATAGAGGTTGGAGGCTTGGAGCTGCTGGACCAACCAACCAACCTGGGCGGCTGTGAATTGTGACAAAGCTGCAACAGTTTTTTGGATAATAAGCTTCAATGGTTAGTTGTTATGTTCTCCATTTCTTTTTTTCTTTGTTATTTGTTTCTTTTTTTTCTTGATTTTAGTAGCTCTATCTCAGCCTTCTTGAACAGAGCTGCATGAATAAATTATGCCACACAGCCATGTTTAATGGACTGAATAGGCCAATTGGACAAGACCCAACTGCTGGCTGTAACTTCATCAGTTCATCTGTTCAGCCTTCAAATTTTTGCAGTGTTGAATTTGATAAATTTTGCTTTTTTGAATTTGATAAATGGTTTATTGGTTTTGCTTGTGAATTGCAGAAAGTAGAAACTGAATGCTCATAGAAATTAGAAATTTGAAGTGAATGATAGAAATTATAATTTGTGAATTTTAACTAATACTCTTTTTTTTTATTTGATTAGGTGCTGCAATTTAATTAAGTCATTTTAGTGTTATATATGTTTTTATGCTTAAAATATCTATTTTTTATTAGTACCCACTATAATTATAAAAAAAGATACATACTTGAGACTTACGCCTCTCATGTTCTGAGCTATGCCTCACGCCTCTAGGTAGTGGAACGCCTTGTGTCACGCCTCCGCATTTTAAAACACTCCTACAAATGGTGAACATACAAAATATAAGTATAAAATAGAGGCAAATTTCCTTGAAAGAAACTAATGCAAAATATAAAAACAGAAATGATAAAACTGCACCTGTTGAAGCTTTGGCACTACTTGTGATGGCCTCCCCTCTAGAGTAACCAGAGTAGATAAGAAGACCCCAATGAAAATAGGAGAGAAAATGAGCTGTATCAAGTTTAGAAAAAAATTATGTTCCAAACCAGCAATTATTCATTATAAAACAGCAAAGCCATGTTATCGCAAGTACTATCTCAGGTTGAAGAGAGAATCACCTGATCAAAGAGAAGGCGTAAGAAAGCACCTGATGCTCCTTGGAGAGTCACCAATTTACTCAAGTGCAGGTACCTATAAACCCAAATTTGAATTTCTTCAATGAAATTTCAAACTAACTAGGTCACAAAGGTGATCAAATATACCTGGATCAGAAGGTCATACGGAATAGACCAGCAATCATTTCGGGCATATGGAATAAGAGAAATGAAAGTATTTAATGAGAAAAAGCAGGAACTCCACAACTCAAAATCGATAGTTTCTACTTGGGCAATCCAGGTGCACCTGGATATGGAGTAATCAGAAATTATGAAAAGGTGTAAAATACTTCAGTTTCTAGAGCAACTTAGAGGTTTAGCAAGTAATCCCAACACAAGGATACAAAACTAAAAGATGTTATAGGACTCTACTTGAGGTTTTTCTTAATTTGTGCCTTTACTATCTCTAATGGTGATATGGGACTGGTTCAGGATTTTTTTTTCAAACAATCAGCTTATGGTGCTCTGCTTTGTCAAACTTAGAGGAATTTAATAGGTGTTATGGTAAGATGTATGGGCCATCATTTGGTTCTCAATAAAAGATCTCAAGAGTGCTCAGTAGATTACTAGGTTGACCCTACTCTCTAGAACTGGGGAGTTTGGAATTGGAATGACTCAAGTGTTGATCTTACATAGACAGAATAGTCCAAAACATCAAAACCAGGTTTTAACAGGTCAAATGACTCAAATTCATCCAACTGTAGCTTCCTGGATGACAAATACAGCCAACTCGGAAGAACTGTTTCATTTCCTTCACTTATTTAATGCCTCATTTTCTATTTCATATACCATCAGTAAATCATGTTCCATCGAGAATATTTAAATAAATAGCATCAGTATGCCAAAATACTAAATCTGGAATAAGAATTTGAAAAATAGTAATTGATATATGAAATCATCAGAAATAGCAGACAAACAGTGTAGAAATGTGAAAGAATGATGGAAAATTGAAGAAACTCACGAAACTTCTTAGAGTTGTGCGTCGAAAGAATTGTGAAGTCTGTGGATTCGAGGCTTGGAATACTAAACCACAACTATTGTCATTCTTCTGATATGTTTAGCTTTCATACACTGCTCTGCCTTAGAGATTTGGATCCATTGAATCATTTAGAATAAAGGAGTGGGAGGAGGTGAGGAGGGTTATTTGGAGGAGGAGAGGAGATTAGAAACAATTTGTTTTATATTTAAACAGAAAAAAGCTCAAATGAACTAGATCAGAAAGAAAAATCTAAAATCTCAAAGCCCTAACCTGTTGCAATGGAGTTGTTGTGTTCTTCTTATCAGTTAGGGCTACTTCAAATCTTCAAAAACCCTTGCAATGTGATTCATTTATTGTTTGCTTTCAATGCCAATATCAATCAAATGTTGAGAGGGGCCTTGAACAATCAGCGACGCAACCACTGTCCGCTACGACTGTCGCGTCTGTTCTCTGGTTCGATAGGTAAGCGGAGAGAAGAAAACGAAGTGAAACGTCTCAGCTAGATTTGCAATTGGGCATTAAAATGAAGGAATAAAACGTGGTGTTGTAAATGGTATTTAATACCAAAAAAGCCCTTAGTGGTATCGAATAGTATCGAATACAATATTAAAGGTATTTAATACCAAAAATGCCTCTCATGGTTGCTTTTTCTATATAGAGGCACTTTTTACTAAATGCCTCTACCGTACAGACTCTAAATATATGTTTCCATATATTATAAATAAATCATGTTAAAGGCTTTTAACGACTTAAAATTGGCATTACATATCATTTTTATCACTAATAATTGTAATAGAGTGGGGCCATGGCCTTATTCCACCCCATCCCCGTTCACACGGTGATCCCCACTCTTCATCATTTGTTATGATATATTAAATTCATTTTATTTTTTATTTATATTTATATTCCATTCCCACTTTTTTAAATAAAATAGCCACTATTTGCAATCTTTTCATATGTGGTGAGTGAGGTGATGTGGTTTTCATATTTATTAATTGAAGTTGCATAATAAAAAGGAAATATACTAATCCCAATGCGCAATCCAGCCACTCCTAGCTCCTAGCTAGAAGTGACTCTGCTTCTAACTGGCGATAGGCAAAAGGTACTTGTGTGGAGAAAGACAAAGGAACCTAGGGTTGTTCATCCGGTGGGAATACTTTGATGCTTAAATTAGTACTCTGTTGTTAGCTGGAAGAGAACGAACTTGCAAGAAGATGAGAAAGCTAGAGAGTGGTGAATATGCGATACCTTGGCCCGTGGGGGGGTTAAAGTCTTTATATACTAACACTCTGGCAGATTTGGTGGGACTAATTCCAAATCTCTACTGCGGCGATCTATTGTTAGGTAGCGTCTCGGAGTGATTGGTTGTTGTCATCAAGACTGAGGAGTAGGTGGGCTAATGCGACTATTGTAGGGTACGGTCCCGCTAGGCAGGAGACAACCTCCGGGGTTGGCAGGCACGACACTGCCAAGCGAGAGACAATGAGCGCAGTTCGCAGAGTTGGCAAATACTGTGCCGTCAGACAAGGGACGTGGGTGCAGCTTTTTGGGTTGACAGGTACGGTTGTCAGACAGGAAGCTTCTCGCGGGACGCCAGACTACTTGATGACAAGCAACCCTATAGCGAGCTACCCGGTGGTGAGCTACTTGTGACGAGCTGTTGGTGGCGTGCCAAGGTGATTCTGTCCAAGGTGAGTCGTCTCTGAGGTGGCCCACTCGCTAGGGTCTAGACTGCCGTGAACTTGATGATGTCGTTTTAGTTCGCAAACTGGGATGAACTCAACCCGAAGTACCTTCAGCTCGAGACATTATCGTACCCGAGCTCATTCTGTGGCGAGCTGATACTTGCTGAGTTGTCATCTGCATCGAGTCATGTACACGTGTCACCTGTTTATGAGGTCGGGTCAAATCACCCTTCATCAATTGATCCCCACTCCCCGAGCTAGGGTTCTTGACATGGTGCGGGGAGTTTATGATGTGACAAGTGGATTTGGCTCGGAGTTCAGGCTGCCCTGTTAGATCGTGTGTGGCTTACGTGTGAACGTCACATGAACTATAAGTCTCGCGGACGCCAAAAAACGCACTAAACTGTCTTCGGTCTCGAGGGTCATGCAGCCGATTCTCTTGTCAGCTGTCAAATTGCTTTGATCTGGACCGTTGCCTCTTCGATACAGTGGCTATAAATAGGGGGTTTCAAGACTCATTTTTCACACCAAGCTGACTTGCCTTCGATTTTGAGGTCGCGCTCTTGCTCTGCTAACTCGGGTCTTCCCTGTTCGTGTCGTTTCTTCAGTCCGGTCAGCCTTCCTTGGTGAGTCTTCCTTTGCTTTTCATTTCAGTTCGGTTTTAGTTATGTCTAGTTTTGATAGCCTTATGGATGAGGCCGAGGTGGGTACCTCGGCTCGGGTTGGTAGCCGGGACGAAGTTGCCTCGGGTTTGGGGGTAGCCCATGGTCTTCCTGAGAGGCAGTCTCCCCCGGAGGCTCGGGAGGCCTCTGGTAACCTGGCATCCGCTTCTCATCGAGGTCGGGTGCCAGACAACTTCGGTCCTTCCTCCATGATCCTAGACAGGCTCCGGGCTTTGGTACGTCAATATAACCTCCCGAGGGGGCTTACCTACAGTCTCCCTTCAGGTNGGGGTAGCCCATGGTCTTCCTGAGAGGCAGTCTCCCCCAGAGGCTCGGGAGGCCTCTGGTAACCTGTCATCCACTTCCCATCGAGGTCGGATGCCAGACCACTTCGGTCCTTCCTCCATGATCCTAGACAGGCTCCGGGCTTTGGTACGTCAATATAACCTCCCGAGGGGGCTTACCTACAGTCTCCCTTCAGGTAACTTACCTTGGGAGCACGATCATAATGAGATCGTGGTTTTTGAAGAACAGCTCGTGGCTGGTCTTCGCCTTCCTTTGCATCATTTGATCATTGAGGTCCTTAAGTCTTTTGACATTACCCTGGATCAGTTACATCCGAACTCTATTCGTAACGTGGTAGGGATCATTTCGCTCTTTTGTGAGTACTGTCTTCCCCTTGACCTCGATGCCTTTTCTACCATTATCTCCATCAAGAAAAACTCTTCCTGCGTTCTCCCTAAGCATAGGAGAACCTACTACTTGTCCCCTCGCCCGGGGTATAAGCTATTGCACGCACTCCCCAACAGGATCCCAACCTAGAAATGGGGTTACTTCCTAGTTCGTAACCATGAGGGGTGGTCTTTCCCGACCCATTGGAGGCCGGCAGTCCAAGTTCCCGGTGTTAGACTAGGCTTGAAGATGAGAGAGACACTTAAGTCTTGGGCGGAGCTCGACTTCCTTTGCTCGGACTATCTTACTGAAGACAAGCTCGTGTAGGCCGGCTTGAGTCTGAGTAGGTCACCTTGGGCTTTTTTCTTAAGATCCTATTTAGTTCGTGGCTAATCTTTTTTATTTTTGCAGCTATCATGCCGGTTAATGCCAAAAGCCTTATGAGGAGCTCCTAGAAGGGGAAGAAGAAGGCTGTGAAGAGACCGCGCCAGGAGGCCGGTCATTCACCCGAAGTCTCAATCGTGGAGCCGGTCTCCTATGCACCTCCTCAGGAGGAGGCCCAGCCCGATGTTCCTGAGGCCACTTCAGCGGAGGTTCAGTGTGAGGGAGTTTGTCCTCAAGAGCCGGGGAGTTCATCCGTACTTGTGGGTGGACCAGAAGGCTATCTTCCAGTTGTGAAAGATAGCATCATGGACCACGTTAAAGCCATGCGCAAGAGTTAGGACACCGTCTTCGAAGATGAAGTCTCGAAGTGGGCTGAGCTATCTCCGGGTACTCTCTTGGGACTAGTTGCCAGCCATTGTATGGTGGTGATCTTTCTACCTCTCTCTCTCCCCCCTTTTTTTTAACTGATCTCGACTTTCTTGTTGGCAGGCTAACTCTACTGGTTGCGCGTTGGCTTTCCAAGCAGCGATCCGTATGAAGGAAGCCATCGATGCTAGGATGGAGATGCAGAAGCTCCATGCGACCTGGATCTGGCTCGAGGCGAGGTGCTCAGGGCTAAGAAGGGGGTTGAGGCCGAAAAAGAGCTGATACTGTCCTAGGAGGGACAGATCTCCTCATTGTTCTTGGAGAAGGCGCGTCTTGAGTAGGAGATCGCGGACCTCGAGGCTTCTATTGTGGAAGAGAGGGTCAAGGCCGTTGAGAGCTTCAAAGAGTCCTCGGAGTTCGAGGCCCTACAGGTCGAATATGGATTGGACTCCTTTCGTGCGGGGTTAAGCTGTGTGGTACTTGGTTCGCCAGAAGTTCCCCGACCTTGATCTCGGTGGGATCACGATGATAGGCTTGGATCCCGAAGTGGCCAAGGTAGTGGATGCAGAGCCCGACTCTTCAGGGGAGGAGGGCGATACTGAGGTCGAGGTGGTGGACCCTTCTGCGTGATGGATCGTTGCTTTCTTTTTCTCTTTTTTGAACTGTGGATGTATTGTCCCGAGCCTTTGAGCTTGGGTAAAAAATCTTGTATCTGAACTCTCTTCTATTAATGAAATATAGTTTCTTTTGAGTATTCCTGAATGCAAAAATACTTCTAAGTGTGAGTGGACTCCGAGCTGGACAATTTAGTGTATAGGTTACCTGAACTGTCGAGCTACTGAGCCGGCAATGAGTAAGGATAACCGAAAGTGAAGTAAGAGCAACAAGGGTGGAATAGACACCGTAGGGTTCATACCCGAGCTGTCTTTCCCTTAGGGGTTAGAGATAACTAGGTTTTACGTAGCGCCCAGGTCCTTGTCAGTTCAGCATTTTGTGGCCCTTAGGATTTAGGAGGGACTCGTAGTCCGTTCTTGAATTTCACCCATGCCGAAGTGGAAACTGGGGTCTTCTTGTGGCCCTTAGACTTAGGGAGGGACCCGTAGTCCGCTCCTAGATTTCACCCAGGCCGAAGTGGCAACTGTGCTCTTCTTGTATGATGTCGAGGTCTTTATCAGTTCGGCACTTTGGCCCTTAGGTTCTGGGAGCGACTCAGAGTCCACTCCTAAGCTTTGCCCATGCCTTAGAGGCGACTGGGACTTAGGTGCCCATGCCGAGGAGGCGACTGGGACTTGGGTGCCCATGCCAAGGAGGCGACTGGGACTTGGGTGCCCATGCCGAGGGGGCAACTGGAACTTGAATAGTGATGATTTCGCTAATCCTTGGACCTTGGGAGCGACTTGTCCACTCCTAGGCTTTCTAGGAGTGACTCTTAGTCCGCCCCCTTGGTTCAACGGTCACAGGTAGTACTGCCTTAGATTGCTGATGTTCCAAGTCTGAGGTACTTGCTTTCCTTTCGACGTTTCGAGCTCATACGCACTTTCCTCGAAAACTCGTTTTACTCGGTAGGGACCTTCCCAGTTCGATCCGAGCTTACCCTCGCTGGGCTCAGGCACCATTACTTTTCAAAGGACCAGGTTGCCAACATGGAAGTGCCGCTTCCTGACTCAATTGTTATAGTACTGAGCTATTTTTTGCTGGTAGACTATGGTCCGGATATACGCGAGGTCCAATATCTCTTC